GAAAGGCGGGGGCACAAATGAATTAAACAAATGAAATAAATATGGTGGCAGGTCTTCGAGCGAGCGAGCGGCCTTCTTCCCTGTGTTGACTGTCAGGTGTCACTAATATGTTGCAGAACAGGTAAGCCGCCACCTACACAAGGGCAGCGTCTTGGCTCAGTGCCATATTTGACTACATCAGATATTTTCAAGTCGTAGGCAGTCGGTCGCCCGGCTCCCCAGCGCTGTTTTTAGAGTAGGCAGACTCATTAATGCACCGTATGTCTTTCATATAAAAGTGAAGACAGCCATCTCGAAAAACTCCTTGTTCCTTCCTTCTGTTATGAGTGTGCATATCTGATTTCTCTTTTTTTGGGGGGGGGGGCGGAGAAATATATATTTTACTTTCTAAAAACGGCCTTAAATTCAGAAACCACTTTGAACCTGTTGGCTGAGCGCTCCCTTAGTGAGTTTCTTTTGGGCAAAGGAAAGACAGGGCTGAAGGAGTTCTGTCAGCGCGGCAGAAACTGACAGACACGGGAGTGCAAAGGAGTATCGTCAGCTTTGATCCTGGGAGCAGGGAAAACAATGCCATGCATATTAGAGCTCTCCAGGGGAAAGAATGCACACCCACGGTTGGGAGATAGAGGAGATACCTCCACGCTTCTGTGGCAGAAAGATAGCAGCCATGACAACGTGAAATCAGTTCTTCTGAAGAGGCAAGGCTAATACAGACGGACGGCTTTGTTGCCGTGGATTGTTGAGGTCGGCAGACCGAAGCAGAAACTGGAGTGTTCAGAAATGCAAATGATACATTAGGAAAGAGCCATTTCGGTTTGGGCAAAATGGGTTTTGCGGAGGCACGTAAAAACAGGCAGGTCTAATTACACAGTAGAAGTTTCTTCCCACACGGAGGGCTGTCAGAGATTGGTCATTCTCCATCCCGTAACATTACAAACCACCTTGCTGTATCACACCAAAAGGTTTGTTCAGTCCTGCACCGTCTGCAAGAATGGTGTGCTGGATGCATCTGAGAAGCTCATCAGCAGCTTCTGATGGCTGCTGTTCTGGGGTGCCCAGTGTCTGGTATATTGCTTTGGAACATGGAGGTTCCATGATTCTTTATTATGGGCAATAAGAGTAAAAAAAAAATCTGTTTTCCATTGAAATCCTGTAACTCTTTAAAAAAACAACTGTTTAAGCTTGTGATAGTGAATTTGGGTCACTTCGGTGCTGTCTGAAGAAGGTGCTGTCTGTCCCACATCTGCTGCCGCTCGACTTCATTGGTTGACTCTGAGTTCTTATATGATAAACACTTTCTCTCCATTTCCCCCGTTCATGATTTTGTAAGCCTTTTGTGTTGTCTTAGCTCTCTTTGTTTCCCTTTGAAAGCCTTTGAAAGTGTATGCGTGCAGAATACATAGCAGGCAAATCTGCTGGGGGTGGTGGTGGTATGTGCATATATCCTTGTGAAAGCGAACTTCAAGTGGTTGTGGGTGTTTGAGGTCATGATTTTAAATGGCCCCATTTGATGTAGTGGTTAAGTGTGTGGACTCTAATCTGGGAGAACCAGGTTTGATTCCCCACTTCTCCACTTGCAGCTGCTGGATGGCCTTGGGCAAGCCATAGTTCTGTCAGAGCTGTTCCCTCAAGGATAGTTCTGGAAAGAGCTCTCTCAGCCCCACCTACCTCACAGGGTGTCTGTTGTGGGGAGGGGAAAGGTAAGGAGTTTGTATTGTAAGCCACTCTGAGACTGAGTGAAGGGCAGAGTATAAATTCAATCTCCTCCTCTTCCTTCTTCTTCCACATTAAACCAAAAACGTTATATCGCATACACTTCTTTCATGGTAAAAACCTCTTCCCTGGGCAAGAACTATTAGAGTTGACTCCACCAAGAACCTGCAGTGGGTCAAGTGGTTAAGACGCTGAACTGCAGGCTGTGGAAGGTCAGTAGTTTAGCATTTCGAGACCCGAGTTGCCGCATGACGGAGTGAGCTCCCGTCTCTAGTTCCAGCTCCTGCCAACCTAGCAGTTCGAAAGCAAGAAATTGCAAGTAGATAAATAGGTACCACTTCGGTGGGAAGGTAACAGCGTTCTGTGTGCCTTGGTGTTTAGTCATGCCGGCCACATGACCACGGAAATGTCTTTGGACAGCGCTGACTCTTCGGCTTGGAAACGGAGATGAGCACTGCAACCCTAGAGTCGGATTTGACTGGCTTTCAAGCAAGGGAACCTTTACCTTTACCTTTATAGATGGAACACTCTGTATGGGGACAGTGATGTTCTGTATTCTTGGTGTGGGGGGGCAACAGTGGAAGGGCTTCTGGAGTTCTGTCGCCTCAGGTGGACCTCTACTGATGGCACCTGGGTTTTGGCCACTGTGTGACACAGAGCGTTGAACTGGATGGGCCATTGGCCTGATCCAACATGGCTTCTCTTACATTCCTCTGAGGGGATTCAATAAACATATGGAGCAGAGGTCCATCAGTGGCTATTAGCCCCAAGGTACAGATGGAACACTCTGTCTGGGGAAGTGATGCTCTATTCTTTGTGCTTGGGAGCAACAGTGGGGAGGGCTCCTGGAGTTCTGGCCCCACTGGTGGACCTCCTGATGGCACCTGGGTTTTGGCCACTGCGTTGGACCAGATGGGCCATTGGCTTGATCCAGCATAGCTTCTCATGTTCTTATGAACTGTCTTGAGAATTAATTGAAAATAATTTCCCCCAAAGACCAAGTGCTATTTGGAACTGATTATTCAGAATGCCTTGTCTTTGATAGGAAGGCTCTGAATTCGCATACCTATATAACTCACTGCTTGCAAGCTTCCATGAACTCATATGAATACATGAATCTACCTTATACAGAAATCAGACCCTTAGTCCATCAGGGTCAGTACTGTCTACTCAGACTGGCAGTGGCTCTCTGAGGTCTCAGGCAGAGGTGTCTCCTGTTAACTGGAAACACAGAGAAGGCAACCTCGGACTTTCTGCATGACAAGCAGATGCTCTTCCACTGAGCCACGGCCCCTCCTGATCCGTGGGAACTTACTGAGTTTCTGTGATTCATTTTTATGGTCTGAGAAAAGCTTCCCTGAACCTTAAAGATGTCTGTATCAAGAGGGTATATATCCCTCATCAGACTTAAAGCAAAGGAACCATCCTTGTTAAATACTCACAAGTTGTGGTACTTGTCTTGGCTGTTTTTCCCGTCCAAATTACAGCACTTGGAAAGCAGTGCTGGGGCATATTTTCACCAGGGTTGAATTTCAGTGTGTGTGTGGGGTCAACACTCTTCCTGGAAGTCCTCCTCTCATCGTATCTCTTGAGAGCACTTTGGAGTCTCAATTGGCTGCCGCTTCAAGTTCCCGCTCTCTTTGAATAGCTCTTTCCGGAAACAGCTAAAAATCAGATTTGGCTTCATAACTACGGCAATTGAGGGGCAAACAGTAGGGCAACCATATTTTGGAAAGCAAAAAAGAGGACATATTTCCAACTGACTACTTCAAAGAAGTGATCACTATGACAAATCCCATTTTAAATACCCATACTGTTTAAGCTGTGACCAATGCTCCCTCTAAGCTGTGGAGTTTTGTGAGCAAAAATTCTACTTTCTGAGCTACTGGACTTAAAGTTGTGAGTGAGAGATTTGGCTACTGCATAAACTAGTTTGCTCTGGAGCCATCCTTCCTTAGTTAAGACAGAAATCTGTGAGCTGGAGGCTAAAAAATTGTGAGCTGGCTCACACTAACTCAGCTTAGAGGGAACACTGGCTGTAATAATTGCTACTAACTAGGGGTGCAGTCAGACGATGGGCCAAGCAAGAAGTGGCTGCACTCTTATTTTAACTGAATCCAATTATGCCGGAGAATTTCATCTAGACATCCCACCTGCAACCTGCTGCACTGCACACTCACTCCGTGGTTGAGCGATCACACTTGCTGTGCGGTAACCATGGAGCGGGCGATCAGGCAGCATTTTTAAATTTTATTTTTGCGCATGCACATGTGATCAGTCAGAGTGCAACTCCGTTTTGACAGTGCGGTGATCCTTCCAAGGTTCTGAGGTTTTCCCGTCCAAGGGATACTGTGACGTTGCTTGGACTATAGTTCTGGTGATGGAATCATGGCCACCGAGATGGGAGTGGATCATGTTCATCAATTTTGTTATATAAGCTAAAATGTGTTAATTGAATTTCAAATAAATGTGCAATTAATTGCTGGTGTTTTGAATTTTATTGTTGTTATCTTCCTTAGTGGGTCATACAAACCGCTGTTTCTGAATAATGCTTTTTATAGGGGTAGGGTAGGTGGTCCTGGGGATGTGTTTATGGAACCAAGCGGGCCGTACCCCCAAAATGTTTGGGAACCGCGGAGCTAGATCAATGCAGTACTATCATATGTGACCAAGTCTTATCTCTTGCTACCAGGATTGGATCTGGATTCGAAAGAAGGCGGTATCATTTCTGAAGCAGGCCTGAGCACCGTCCACAAACACAATTCTGAACAAAAGTTTCAAATTGAGGCTGTCCAAAGCAAAGGAGATTATAAGAAGAGAAGAGCCACCATTCCAACAATGTGTTATCTACCACTGGGCCAGTATTCATATTAGAGATTATTCAATAAGAGCCCTAATAATAAGTTGGACAGTTTTTCTCAGCAGTAAGCTACTTTCTTACAGGCTCTCCCCAAGATAAAGAAAAAGTATTTCTTAGTAGCTTGTAACTAACTCTTTTCTCGTGGAACAAAGTTTGAGTCCAGCGGCAGCTTTAAGGCCAACAGAGGTTTTTTTCTGAGGATACGCTTTTGTGTTCATGTGTACTTTTTAAGATATCGCTTGAGATACCTGTTAGTCTGGGCTATCCAGGTCAGGGAAGATTAATATTACTAGGGCATTTGTATTAGTACATATATTTTTGAAGACTTTTACATTTTGGCCTTTAAAAAAGAAAATAGCCATGCATGCAGACTGGCAGTAGAGAGAATTCAGCAGACGGGAACGATCAACAAGTGGCACGTCTAAAACAAAATGTCTCGTCAAGAAAAGGTACAGTCTAAAATTAGAGATGCATGACTACATTTTCCAAGTACAGTTCAGTTCTGCTGTATGTGGTAGTCACATGAAAACCGATCATGAGCCAGCAGGAAGGGTTAGGATCAGAGGTGAAATGTGTGGAAGGAACATTGTCCAGGCAGAGCGCATGGGCTACTTTGAACTTCTATGCTTTGTGAGAGAGTTCATCCGTGTAGGAAGAGGGAGAAAGCTCTGCTTCTAACAGGCAAGACTTTGGTAATAGCCAAAATGGCTTCTCTGTAAAGGGTACCTTAATTGTGTCTCTCAAAGGTAGTGTAAATCTGAGTTGCATTCATACTGCTTGGCCACGCCACAGGCTGTCATGGGAGAACCTTTGCCGTTTCTTATTTCATCCATTGGCTTAGTTTCATTCCTTCATCATAAGAACGTAAAAGAAGCCATGTTGGATCAGGCCAATGGCCCATCCAGCCAAATGCTCTATGTTACACAGTGGCCCAAACCCAGGGGCCATCAGGAGGTCCACCAGCAGGGCCAGAACTCCAGACGTCCTCCCACTGTGCCCCCCCAAGACAGAACATCACTGCCCGAGACAGAGTGCTCCATCTGTACCTTGTGGCTCACAGCCACTGACGGACCTCTGCTCCATATGTTGATCCAGTCTCCTCTTGAGGTTTTCTATGCTTGTAGCCGCCACCACTTCCTGCAGCAGTTATTTCACTTTCCTTGCTGTCACAACTGATGATCCTTGCCTTGCAGTGAGCGCCTTACAGCTGGGAGGCACACACCATCAAGGCAGGGATGGGTAAGGAGTTAGGCTGGCAACCAGCAGGAGGGCTGGGGGTGGGCAGGCAGGGATATGGGGTGGGCACGACATCACTGACATCTCTTTGGTTTCCAGCAATTCCTAGAGAGCCAGTTTGGTGCCGTGGTTAAGTGCGCGGACTCTAATCTGGGACAACCACCCGGGTTTGATTCCCCACTCCTCCACTCGCACCTGGCTGGATGACCTTGGGCAAACCATAGTTCTGACGAGCTGTTCTGGAAAAAGAGCAGTCTCTCTCAGAGCTCTCTCAGCCTTGCCTACCTCGCAGGGTGTCTGTTGTGGGGAGGGGCAGGGAAAGGAGTTTGGAAGCCGCTCTGAGACTCCCTTGGGAAGTGAAGGGTGGGGTATAGATCCAATCTCTTTGTGGCGTAATGATGTCACTGATGACACCACTTTTCAGTTATTTTTCTCCTGCAGCCGCTCTAAGCGGAAGAGGCAACAGAGGCCTGGCAAGTCTAGTAAAAGCAGGGGTCATTTCGTAGACAAAGAGGTGCAGGAGCTCATTAGCATAACTCATTTGCATATGCCACACACCCCTGACATCACCGGAAGTGTGTCAGAAGGCAACATCCACCGCTCAGGCTCCACTGGACTGTTTTGGATTGCTAGCTATTGGGGGGGGGGGACGTGCAGATCTCGCAGAGGAGGGAGAGCTTGTACCTGAATAAAACGTGGCCTTAAAGGTGCCACTGGACTGTATTTTTTTTGGGGGGGGGGGTTCTGCAACTTACCTGGCTGCTTCTTGCTCTGAATGAGGGCTGCTGGGAGCAGGGGGCGGGGCTTGTTGCATCTGCCCGCCCCCTGGGCTCCTTACTGCCGGAGCTCCGCTCCTGTGCGCTCCTGCAGGAAATGACCCCTGAGTAAAAGTAAGGCCCGGGGTTTTAGATTCCTGTCTCATCACCTGTCTTTGCTTTGCTGAGAGAAGCATGTGGCAAGATGAGAGTTGAGAATTTTGAACCTGAGTGTTTGATCCTGTGCTCTGCAGCTTCATATTGCTGTCTCGATAGTCCCTTAACACTAAGCAGGTCAAGCCCTGCATGGGGAAGTGAGGCAGCATAACCAAGTCAAGTATGAATAAAGTCTTCCCAAGCATTTCAGAGGTTTTTGATCTGTTCTGGAGATATCTGCAGAAGCTTAATGTGTGTGATATTTATGGGAGCTCAAGCAGCTCTTGCAAAAGAAGAACAGGAGGAGATTGGATTTGTGCTCCGCCCTTCACTCGGAGTCTCAGAGCAGCTTACACACTCCTTTCCCTCCCCCTCCCCACAACAGACACCCTGTGTGGTAGGTGGGGCTGAGAGAGCTCTTTCCAGAACTGTCTATGAGAGAACAGCTCTGACAGAACTATGGCTTGCCCAAGGTCATCCAGCAGGTGCGAGTGGAGGAGTGGGGAATCAAACCCGGTTCTCCCGGATTAGAGTCCACACACTTAACCACTACACCAAACTGGCTGGGTTACACTAGTGGAACACCCGAGTCCGGCATCCTATCTCACACGGCGGCCAACCCGGTGCCCCAGAGGGCAGAGCATCTGCTTGGTATGTAGAGGGCCAACGAAGAGGGCACAGAGGTCAAGGTTTTTCCCTGGTGGTGCTTCCCAGCACTGGGTTTCAGAGTTCTTGCTGCCTCTGGGTGTGGAGGTTCCCTTTAGTTACCCAGGCTAGTAGCCAGTCATGGCCCTGTTCTCAGTGAAGGCTTTGCAGTCTGTGCCTCAGTCCAGAGTTTCGCATGCTCTCGATACTGTGTGCGTACGCAGCTCTAGCATACGCACCTTCCCCCGTTCTTCAGAGGAATGTGCATGCGGTTCTGCTTCCTCGTCAGAATGAGTGGGGCAGCCCTCAAGGGTAGGGGAAATGTTCTACATGCATCAGAGCTCCAAGCTTGTATAGATCTGTTGGATTGGGTCATTGGGTTAAGGAATGGGTGTGATGAATTTTACGCGCACACAGAAGCATGCATGAGATCGGTATGGTTTACGGGTGTGCAAAAAAAAATTCGGCCCAATTTGGATTCGGCGGAATTGAGGCAGAATCAATTTCCGCCGGCAGAAAGACTCCGGCATGTCAATTTCAGCAGTACAAGTGGATTCCTAAGTCTTTTGGCCAGCCGAATGTAAATTTTGGCCCCACTATATCCTATGGGCCATTGGGGCCATTGAAGTCAATAGTGAAAACATAGGGTATATTCTGGGGGTTGGAGGGGAGGGGGTTGGAGGGTTGCCCCCATCCCCTCCATTGTTTTCTATGGTGGGAATAGAAAACAATGGAGGGGATGGGTGCAACCTGTTTGGAGGCTCATAGAATTGGACCCTCTGGTCCAATGTTCTTGAAACATGGTGGGTATCTCGGGGAGAGGCTCCAGCAGCTACCCTGCAAGTTTGGAGCCTCTCCCTCAAACCCCCTCCCCTCAAGCCCCCAGAATATACCCTATGTTTTCACCATTGACTTGGTCGAATTGCTGCCGAGATTTGGCGACAAGTCGATTCAGATCAGAGAATCTGACTCGGCCCGCAGCAGACCGAAAGGGGCCCGAATGGGCCATTTTCGGGGGGGGTGTGTTCGGTTCAGATGAATTGAAGGCACATCCCTAGTATGGTGCCTTTGGGTGCAGGAAGTGCATTCAAGGCAATGTACAAACTTATCAAGCGTGATGAGAGTTAGTATGATGGAGGCCTGAGAAAGTGGGCTTGGGCAAGAAGATTGCAGGCTCAAAGCCTCACTAGGCGGGTTTTGACTGATTACTGCCTTCAGCTGAATTCCAGTTTTGGAGCAAGAACACGGAGGGGCTGTGGCCCAGGGGCAGAGCATCTGTTTGGCATGCAGAAAGTCCCAGGTTCAGTCTCCAGTTGAAAGGACTAGGCAGGTGGGGATGTGAAAGACCTCTGCCTGAGACCCCCAGAGAGCTGCTGCCCGTCTGAGTAGACAGTACTGACTTTGATGGACCCAGGGTCCAATTCAGTAGAAGGCTGTTTCACGTGTGTTCGCTGTTCAGAGTTCCTTGGAGGGTATGTGGTAAATGAACAAACAGTTGAATATCTTTGAGGTTGCATCCGTATCTCACGAGTTCCTGGAATTTCCTTGTGGCCTAACTTCTGGGGTCATTCAACTGTTGTGCCCGTTCTTTCCTCCATGAGGAATTTTTGTTGGTTTGTTTTTTAAAATTGCATTGTGTCTAAGACCACAAGGCAGGCGATATGTTCATAAATAATTAGGTACTTGTTCTGGAGGTCTGTCGGCGATGTAAGGGTACATGGTGGCTTTACGAAGGCCCACGAATGAACAGAACCCCTTTGTAAGCGGCACAGACTTCCTCCCTTGAATCCCTTCCAGCTTTTGACATGTTGGCAGTATGTAACCTCAACGAGGTTAGTGGAACGTCATTCCGCGTTTATAAAAACTGAGCAGGTAAAGCCGTGAGTGGAAGAAGAAAGGCTCCGAAGGCTGATTCTGTTCAGCGTTCGCGCTTTCTGCAGTGAGTATGGATGCCTGTGGTTTGTGTTTATCATATCCTTCTTTGTGTCTGTGAGATTTGTGGCAAGCCTGACTCTTATTTCTTTCTTTTTTCCCCCTACTTCTTTACCGTCAAGTCATAACTGACTTACGGCGACCCCGTGGGATTTCCAAGACAAGAGACATTCAGAGGCGGTTTGCCATTGCCTGCCTCTGTTTAGTAACCCTGGACTTCCTTGGTGGTCTCCCGCCCAAATACTAGCCCGGGCCGACCCTGCTTAGCTTCCGATGAGATTGGGCCAGCCTGGGCCGTCCAGGACAGGGCAGTAATTAAGTGCCATCAGGTCACAGCTGGTTTCTGCGACCCCGTGGGGTCTTCAAGAGCCAGTTTGGTGTCGTGGTTAAGTGCACGGACTCTAATCTGGGAGAACCGGGTTTGATTCCCCACTCCTCCACTTGCACCTGGCTGGATGACCTTGGGTGAGCCACAGTTCTGGCACAGCTGTTCTTGAAAAAGCAGTTTCTATCAGAGCTCTCTCAGCCCCACCTCCCTCACAGGGTGTCTGTTGTGGGGAGGGGAAGGGGAAGGAGTTTGTAAGCCGCTCTGAGACCCCTTTGGGTAGTGAAGGGCGGAGTATAAATCCAATCTCTTCTTCTTCTTCAAGACAAGAGATGTTCAGAGGCGGTTGGCCATTGCCTTCCTCCGTGTAGCGACCCTGAAGTTCCCTGGTGGTCTCCCATCCAAATACTAACCGGGGCCGACCCTGCTTCGCTTCTGAGATCTGACGAGATTGGGCTAGCCTGGGCCATCCTGGTGATGGATAACTCTGACTCTAAGTAAATTGAAATCGTTGTGTGTTGTGCGGTGTTCTAATAAATGGGCATTGGGTAAGAAACCATGAGTCACTTTTACGTCCTACTTTTACAAGGGAGAGGAAAAAACCCTCTTTGATCATAAGACCTTTTAATTAAATAAAATAGAATTTCTCCCCCCCCCCTTTCTTTCTTGTAAAAGGCTTTTATTTGGATCTGTATAGGTACCATCAAAGAAATTGGTGGCTGGCCAGTGTTCCGTAGACAGACTTTATGCCTCGGTTCCTTTCCCATTGTTAAAAGAGTCTGGATGGTTGTAGTCCAAAACGTTCATTCTCAGCTTCATTATTCCTTGTAATTGGTTCCTTGGAATTAGCCAATAAAGTCCAAAGGAATCACTGTGGTTATTCATTGAAGTAATGCGCAAAACATAACTCGTGACACTTTAAAGACTAGAAAATATATCGTGGTACAAGTTTTTTGTGAGCGAAAGCCCAGACGCTTGTGTTGCACTGTATTCATTAGTCTTCAAGGTGCCATGGTTTTCTTAACAGTAAGCACTGATCATTGGATGGTTATCTTCTCAACAAGAAATTATCCTAATGTTCTATGGTAAGGTTTATAATCAGTGATTTATAAGGGAAGTTGCTGCTTGCTTGAATGTTAAGGAGCTGACCAAATGAATGCCTGTTCCGAAATATTTGGAGGCTCTCTTGAGATGATTTTTTCCTCCCTTTTCTTGCAGAAACAGAAATGAAGGTACACGTGCACACGCAATTTTGCCTCATTTGCCTGCTGACGTTTGTCTTCCACCAATGCAACCACTGCCACGAAGACGGGCACGAGCACCATCATGACGACCATCAGATCTCAGAGTCCACGTATCTCCAGAACGGAAGGACGGAACCCACATCAAACAAGGAAGCCGAAGACGCACAGAAATACTACATTGAAAAACTCTTTGACCACTACAGCGACAATGGGAAATTGTCCTTTTGGGGTCTGGAGAAGCTGCTGACGAGCCTTGGCCTTGGGGAAGTGAAAGTCGTGGAGATCAACCACGAGGACGTAGGCCACGATTACGTGTCTCATCTAGATGTCATAGAGGTGCAAGAAGGAAGGCACTCGCACTCCCACAACCACCCTAACTCTCATAGTCACTCAGGTTCAGAAAACCAGACTGTAAGTGACAGGTCTGCCAGGAGATCCCAGAAGTGTGACCCCGAAAAAGAGGTCACCGAGTCGTCTTTGAAATCTAACGGCAAACGTGCTCATGACCATACCCTCAGGCACCACGGGCACCACCACCACCACCCGCACCGCCATCTTGGTCACAATGGCAGCCACCATTTGCATAACGATTCCGTAAGGGCCAGTGACCACGGGGAGCCGAGTCACGAGCCTTCCACGGAGACCAACACTACTCAAGAACAGACTGAAAAAAAACCGTGTAAGCCCAGGAAGCCTACGAATAAGAAGAAGAGCGGCAACGCGCTGATAGACACGACACAAGCCGTTGCTCCGGACCGTGACTCCAACGAGCAGTCCGAACACAATCGCGTTCACAAGCATGGCAACGCGCACCATGCGTCCGCCTCGCACCCGCAGCTTCAAGACTGTGCTAGCGACCATGCGGCTGCTCACGGGCATCAGGATCCCAGTCCAGCCAGCGGAGATGGACATCACCATGCCAGAAAGCGGGAAGCCCCCCATAAGCAGATCAGCGTGGAAAAGCAAGATATCTTTTCTGCACGGAGTCACAAGGATCATCATGAAGATGAACATCATCACGAAGAGGTCAGTGCGACACCCGTAGAACCCCGCAGGCCTTTGTCGTTTTGGCTGTCGAGCCTCAGCCAAATCCTGGCAACCTCGTAGGTCTTTGGAGGCCAGAGATGATCAGAGGTGGTTTGCCATGGCCTGCCTTTGCCTAGCAACCCTGGCCTCCCTTGGCGGTCTCCCACCCAAATACTAGTCAGGCCTAACCCTGCTTCGCTTCCTAGATCTGACAAGATCGGGCTCGCCTCAGCTATCCAGGCCAGGGCACGCAGGCCTTTAGTAATGTAAAATGTTCTCTACTCCAGAGCTCCCACGCTCAGGGCTAAGCCTCGGGACTGTGAAAGTTTGCTTTCGCTAGAACGAGCTTGTAAATTATTCTCTCAGTTGACTGTGGCCAATAAGGCGCTTTATGGCCAAATTAGTTTTTTAAATTTTTATTATTATTATTTTGCCTAAAGATAACAATCATACCTCTGGGAAAATAGGCTAATACAAATTTGCGTAGGCTAGTGAATTTTGTGGACTTATCAGAACTGTTCCAAACTATACTGGCACGGCGTATAAAACAGTAGGAATTATCCTGGCCCCACACAAAATAGCTTAAATTGAATAGTAGGCATTTTGAGATTCCTCTTTACAAGCGCCTCCCCTCTCTTCAGAGTGCCGAGAGGATGAAAGAACTCGATTTGCTACCCTGAGCTCCTAGGAGGGGTGGACGAAGTGAAGATGCAGTGAAAGGGTAACGCTTTTGGTCTCTCCAACTATCCTGAGGGCAACCCGCTTTCAGGGATTCACAGATTTTGGCTGCCAATAGTAGTCAGCCAGAGTATGTGGGCTTCTCGGGCTGTGCCCCCCACCCAGTGACAGCGGGGTGGGTTTCAGCATCAGATGCCACGTTTGGTTTTCGTTGCTGTAACCAAATATGTTTAACTCCGAAAATGGTCTGCATCCCAGAGACTCCCAAATCATCTAAAAGTGCCACCACTAAGAATTAACAACCAAAACTCTATTGAAAACAATACAACACTGTAGTCAAATACAACACCAGTATCAATGAAGTCTCAGAAATGGCAAGATTCCAGTTGCCAACTGACCAAATAGGATGTAGTTAAACAATCCAACTAACCAATGGCGGAGACATCCTATTCACCCATTACAGTGAAAATGATTCTTATATTGAATGAAACAATGAGAAAAACTTTTCAAGCCTCCCACAGGAGTAACCCTGGTGATAATCTCCTGGTCTCCCGTCCGGGATAATAAGCTACAAGAAATTAGGAAATAATAGATAAGGAACACTCCTCATTCTTACTGTTATTTCTGAATGTAATTATTCTGCATTGTTGTTGTAATTGTAATTTTGAATGTTATTGTTCCCAAGTGTATAGGCTGTCTCAGCCATTGGTTAGTTTGATTGTTTAACTGCATCCTATTTGGTCAGTTGGCAACTGGAATCTTGCAGTTTTTGTGAGTTCATTGATACTGGTGTTGTATATGAGTACAGTGCTGTATTGTTTTCAATAGAGTTTCAGTTGTTAATTCTTACTGGTGGCACTTTTATATGATTTGGGACTCTCTGGGATGCAGCCCATTTTCGGACTTAAAACATATTCGGTTACAGCAGCTCTCTTACTCCGCTGTCCTTTGCTGTTTTTGCAATTTTACGTTTGGTTTTGGAACTGCTGAGAGTGCCCTGGGCACGTGGTGCAGGTTCAGGGGACACGCTGCGCTGCTGCCCTCGGCTCCAGAGGAGGACTGAGACTTCTCTGTCAGCTCTGGTTTTGAGGTGCTAAAGGTGTCTCCGAGGTGCAGCAGGGGAACGCTCCAGCCGTCTTCCCAAACTGGAAATTGGGGGCAGAGAATTGTCCAGACTATTTCCAAGGTGCTTTGAGCACCTGTGAAGCACGGTGGGATTCCTGCAGTGATCCCGTCTCTCCCCCCTCCCCCCCCCGCTCCAAGTTGAGGGAGCCTGGCATTTGCCCTGTTGTACTTCCAAGGTGCTTGGGCCACCAGTGAAGCACGTGGCAGCCGTATGGAAGATCCCAACTTCCTTCTTGTCTCCAAGACTGGGTGGGGAGAGCCGTGGCTCCTCTGACCAGGAAGTGATGGTCTTTTAATCATTGCAGGTTGAACTGGTGACTCTCCTGGTTCTTGACTGGGTGGGCCGCAGATTTAAAGTAAAACCTGAGCGGTATTTTCAATGAGTGGGATTTCCCTTCCCTATTGGGAAGTATTTTTGCTTCTTTTCACTAGGTAGGGAGGAGTATTCTGTACTTAGTAGACTCTCTAGGCTTCTGGCAATACTGGGCTGGAACCAAACTGTTAATGGAAGGTGGGAGATAGTTTTGTCAGTTCCCCCACCCCCCCACATACACACCCATTGCAGACCCCCGATTTGTCCCCCTGTGTTTCTGAGGGTCCCCTATCTCAGAGAGATCAGTGGGCTTCTGCAGGAGCAGAGATGAAGGCAGAAAAACCCCTGTTGCACTGCCAAAACCATTTAGTTGGGACCCTACCCAATACACCCAGATCGTTTATATTTATTATTTATTTAAGTAATTTAATTTCTGTCACTCCCACCTTCCCTGTGAACGGGCTCAGGGCGGCTTACAACATGAAAATTATAACAGCGATCCCATTAAAATTCTAAAATTCTCACGTTCAGCTGTTTGTGGACGGAGTGACTCTCACTCAATTTGAGAGCCAGTTTGGTGTCGTGGTTAAGTGCGCGGACTCTAATCTGGGAGAACCGGGTTTGATTCCCCACTCCTCCACTTGTAGCTGCTGGATGACCTTGGGCAAGCCATAGTTCTGACAAGAGCTGTCCTTGAAAAAGAGCAGTTTCTGTCAGAGCTCTCTCAGCCCTGCCTCCCTCACAGGGTGTCTGTTGTGGGGAGGGGAAGGGAAAGGAGTTTGTAAGTCGCTCTGAGACTCCTTTGGGTAGTGAAGGGCAGGGTATAAATCCAATCTCCTTCTTCAATTTAATTGTCTATTTCCTATCCTGTTCGCAGTGTCTAAACATCACCCAGCTGCTGAGGCATTATGGTCTTCGCCCCAATTCTCCAATTACCCCCCGTTTGTTTACATACCTGTGTCCCGCGTTGCTGTACCAGATTGACAGGAGACTCTGTATCAAACATGACGACGATCTGCTGATTGAAGAGCTGAGCAAAGGAAAAAACGCATCCCTTGAGCATATGGATAAAACAGGCGCATCAGGTGAGGGGGGGGTCTAAGTGTTTCCGCAGAGCAACGTTTTGTAATTTATGATATTTTGTCATTTTATTGTCACATCCTATGTGACGTATATAAATTTAATGATAATAATAATAGCAACAGCAATAGTTAGTAGTAGTAATAACAACAACAGCTTGCCAGGATAACCTGTTTGTTCCTTTTCTCTCAGCCTTGCTCCTGCAGTTTTGTATCAGTGAGTAAATATTCAGTGCAGAAATTGTAAGAACATACCAACATAAGAGAAGCCAATGTTGGATCAGGCCAATGGCCAATCCAGACCAACACTCTGTCACACAGTGGCCAAGAATGCCAGGTGCCATCAGGAGGTCCAGCAGTGGGGCCAGGACACCAGAAGCCCCTCCCACTGTTGCCTCCCCCCCAAGCACCAAGAATACAAAGCATCGCTTGCCCCAGACCGAGAGTCCCTGTCTATATCTTGTGGTTAGTGCCACTGATGGACCTCTGCTCCATATGCTTATCCAATTCCCTCTTATAAGTACAGAAGAGAAGCCAATGTTGGATCAGGCCAATGGCCCATCCAGTCCAACACTGTCACACAGTGGCCAAAAACACCAGGTGCCATCAGGAGGTCCAGCCGTGGGGCCAGGACACTAGAAGCCCTCCCACTGTTGCACCCCCCAAGCACCAAGAAACAGAGCATCACTTGCCCCAGAGCCCCTATCTACACCTTGTGGCTAATAACCACCGATGAACCTCTGCTCCATATGCTTATCTAATTCCCTCTTGAAGCCGTTCATGCTTGTAGCCGCCACCACCCCCTGTGGCAGTGAATTCTACGTGTTCATCACTCTTTGGGTGAAGAAGGACTTCCTTTCATCCGTTCTAACCCGACCGCTCAGCCATTTCATGGAGGGCCTGCGCATTCTCGTATTGTACTGTCATCTCATGAATTTTACAGGTTTGTTCCGCTTGTTACTAAAAACACTCAAGGTCCATCGGACCCATGGACAGGAGCGCTGGAGGGGGAGGGCCCCCCCGTAGAGCCCGTGGTCCGTTCTGTCCTCAGGGTCAGGGGTGGAAAGTCCCGTCAAGTCACATTTGACATACGGCAGCCCTGTAGGGTCTCCGAGGCAGAAGAGGTTGCGTAGCAACCCTGGGCTTCCTCGGAGGCCTCCCATCTAAATATTAACGGGGGCCCGACCCTGCTTAGCTTCTGAGATCTGACGAAGTTGGGCTAGCTGGAGCCCACCCAGGGCAGGGTGTTCTTAGGCTTATGCTGACACACACGCCCGTCCAGGTTTCTTGGATCTCACCCCCATGTCTCTGGAGGGGCCCTGCCCCAAAGTGACTCCATCCAGCATGTCCCGTGAGTCCACAGAGTGTTATCCTTCACGCTGGGGCCAGCACACTCGAAGCTGTTGCAGCAGTCCTCATTTTTTAAAAACAGCTTCCTGCAGCAGCCGCCCCCGAAGACCAAATTCATCTGCAGCAACCCACTGTACGGATTGGGACGCTTTCTCTGTACCCCCACAGATGACTGTTGCTTTAATCCGGAGACAGTCCACTGAGTATCGTAGCTAGAATTAAGACGCTGCAGACAAGTTGCTTGCCATTCAGAAGCAGCTGCTGTGGGGAACCACGGCACGAGCACTCCACAGAACAGCCCTTGGGGAGGGATGTCACCAGCCCTTACCCCAGACCTCATCACGTGTGCATCTCGGCACAGGGTGGGGAATTTCTGTTTGAGACTTGCTGTTCGACACAAGAAAAGAGCAAGAGTCCAGTAGCACCTTAAAAGAGTAACAAAGTTTGTGGCAGGGGAAAAGCTTTCATAGAATCATAGAATGTTAGCGTTGGAAGGGACCTTGTAGGTCATCTAGTCCAACCCCCTGCACTCTGCGGGAGCATCACCGAAAGAGAGCCCTACATACCTACAACATACCCGAAAGATGGTCGGCCAGCCTCCGCTTGAAAACGTCCAGCGAAGGAGCCTCCACCACCTCCCGAGGCAGTCTGTTCCACTGCTCAACCATTCTTACAGTTAGGAAGTTTCTCCTGATATTTAGCTGGTAACGATTCCCTTGTAATTTCCACCAAAGGGCGGTTCTGAGTATCTACGGGTGCCCCTGGAGGACACTCCTGCTCAGCTCTCTTCTGATTGGCCACACAGTAGCAGCAGCAGCTACTTCTCAACGATGGGGGTCTGTCTGTCCATCATCCCCCTCCCCCCAGTTTTTGCACTTTTACGTTAGAATTTGTCGGTGGGAGTTTTCCACAGAGCACCGGCCGTCGCATCACCACATCATCTCTAAAGCTGCCGCAGCTGCTGTAACTTTGTTGGGGGCTGGGGGAGCCTTGGAGGGAATTGCCCTTATTTTGGGAATAATGCTATTGCTAACGACAAGTATTGATTAGTTGTTTTTGCCAGCGCTTATTAGCATTGTCAGAAACGAAGCCCGAATTAAGAAGGTCCTGATAGATGTTAATGATTGCCAGGGAAGTGTGGCCCCGGTGGTGATTATTTTTAATGACTGCAGCGTCGTTAAGAAAGGTTAACTTTTTTTGCGTACAACTCTCCTAGCGTGGCACAAGCCACTACCCTCATTAACTTTGCTCAAAGATTCCGTAAGCCAAATAAACTCCACGTGCTGCATACAGTAGCAAATCGTTTTGTTTCACAGGGTAGTCTTGTTTTAGTCCGAGCTGACCCCCCCGGTTTAATTGCCAGGAGAGCTTCTGAAAAGGCCGCTAAGCGTTTTCCTGCCAATTAAAAATGTGGAAAAGGGTGCATTTTAAAAAAACCAAACCCGAACCCCCCCTCCTCTCTACCCCACCTCCCATCGCCTATACGCCTTTGAACCAAGTTAATTAGAAAGTTTCCACAGATGAGCGCTTCTTTTTAAAAGAAGCATTTTCTGTCGAGATAATGAGGGAGGGAATTGATGAATAAGTAATCCGGAAGACCTTTAACATATTAAGTGACCTAATTTTGCAGAATAAGTGAAACGCGCTGCGGGGCTCGTCTGCGCACTTTGTGGAGGGGGCGTTGCAAGCAGAAACTTTACAGCGACAAAGAAAGGCCTTCCGGTTCCTTTCGGCGGCCTGTGGCGTCGCCCCGGTGGAAACGTCTCGAGGAGCTTTTTCAGCTGCCCAGCAGAGCAGGTTTGGGGTTCGAAACCCCCGTCGCACCAGTCCTTCTCTGTTCTCAAACGGCCTGTGCTTCGCAGCGCCCAAGAAGGTTTCTGGTTCTTCCCTCCAAGCCCCCTCATCGGGTCCTTCCTCCTCCATGCCGTCCTCTGCTCCTCAGCCTCCGGTGACTCTGGACCCCGCTTCCCTTTCCGTTGACCCTGGCTTTCTGCTTGCTGCCTTGTCTTTCGGCTGCACGTTTTAGCCAGCGGGTTTCCTGTTAAGCCTTGTGGATGTAAAAGGCTTTTCGCCCAAGATGCTGTATAGTGAGATGCTTAAACTCGGCCATTGTGCCAGGGTTGCTGAACAAACGGTACCCTTTCAGCCGCAGAACTGGCCTTAAGGCTGTTTGTGAACGCCAAGGTGCCAGCTGTTCCGTTGCCAGCACGTTGGCCGAACACCTAATCCTTTAAGCCCGTCTTCCCGTGGCTTTATTCTCTGTGCCTCCTCAGGAGAAAAGGCAAGTTTGTGTGTCTCTCTCTGTGTGTGTGGAGGGGTTGCCCTCCTGCTGCTGGTTCCTCAGACACATCCCGCTACTCTCAGCTTGTGGGCAGTACGTCTAATTCCTGATCCATTGGAGTTGTTCTTGTTCAGTCGCACAGTCGAGTCCGACTCTTTGCGACCCCATGGACCAGATCCCGCCAGGCCCTCCGGTCTTCCGCCGTCCTCTGAGGTTTGCTCAACTTCATGTTCGTTGCATCTATGACGCTGTCTAACCATCTCATCCTTTGCCGTCCCCGTCTTCTTTGACCTTCAATCTTTCCCCGCATCAGGGTCTTCTCCAGTGAGTGCTCCCTTCTCATTAGGTGGCCAAAGTATTTGAGCTTCAGCTTCAGTGTCTGGCCTTCCAGGGAACAGTCAGGGTTGATTTCTTTTAGGATTGACTGATTTGATCTTCTTGCAGTCCAAGGGACTCTCAAGAGTCTTCTCCAGCACCATAGTTCAAAAGAATCTATTCGGCGGATCAGAGAGTTGGAAGGGACCTCCAGGGTCATCTAGTCCAAACCCCTGCACAATGCGGGGAAATCACAAATACATCCCCCCCACACACCCACAGTGACCCCTGCTCCACGCCCAGAAGATGACCAAGACACCTCCAGGATCCCAGGCCAATCTGGCCTGGAGAAGAAGTGCTTCCTGACCCCAAAGTGGCCGTCAGCATTTCCCTGGTCATGTTAGAAGGGGCCACGAGAACTAAGCACTGAGGCAGCCCTTCCCGCCCTCCCTCTCGTGATCTGCCCAAGTTCACAGAATCAGCATCGCTGTCAGATGGCCATATAACCTCCAAAGGAGGAGAGCCCATCACCTCCCGAGGAAGCCTGTTCCACCGAGGAGCTGCTCCTAAAGTCAGGAAGTTCTTCCTGATGCTTACCTGAAAACTCTTCCAATTTAATTTCAACCCGTTGGTTCTGGTCCGACCTTCTGGGGCGACAGAAAACAAGTCCCCGCAGCATCCTCTATAGGGCAGCCCCTCGAGGACTTGAACATGGCTATCATGTCACGTCCCCGTCGTCTCCTCTCCAGGCTAAACGTCCCCAGCTCCTTCAACCTTCAAGGTGGACAATAAAATCCACTTGCAAGTCGCCTCTACAGGCCAGGGGTCCCCAGCCTCTCTGAGCTTGTGGGCACCTTTATAATCCTGACACAAGGTGGTGGGCACAACCACAGCATGGCCATGGCAGGAGGCCGAGCCACACACACAGAGGATGCCCAAGCGCAGGGGAAGAAGAGGGATACATTTTAAAAAAGAAGTACTCTGGGGAAGAGGATAAAACCAGTGCTGTGCTGGCAGCTGCTGTTGAAACGACGGTTCCTTTAATCTGCCCAGCCAATTGGATCTCTAATGGCCATTTAGATGTCCTGCTGGGCAAATGCTCCACCTGGCCCTGCCCCCTTTCTAAAAACGGTTGGTGAAAAAAGGAGTTTGGCTGGCACCCTGGCGTCCATGGGCACCGACCTCGTTAGGCACCCCAGCTATAGAGGCTACAAATGTCCGGTTTTATTTATCGGCGACAGACCTCCCCAAATGTCCGCACAACCGAGAATCCTGCTTCATATGACATATTAAAAAATGTTTCACAGCCTTGGGTGGAACTGCACGCTGCATGGGAATTGGGGATGCTTTAAAGAAGGGCACCTCTGTGTCAAATGCTCCCCCTCCACCGTGCAGGATCACTCACTCAGTAACCCTTGTCACGTTGTGCATTTCCTCACTGGGGGGGAGAACTAGGCACGGTGGAAAGGGCCGTCAAGTCACAGCCAGTTTACGGTGACCCTGCAGGGCTTTCAAGGCGAAAGACATTCTGAGGTGGTTGGCTGTTTGGTGCAGTGGTTAAGTCTAATCTGGTGCAGTGGTTAACTCTAATCTGGGAGAACCGGGTTTGGTTCCACATTCTTCCACTTGCAGCTGTTGGATGACCTTGGGCAAGCCATAGTTCTGTCAGAGCTGTTCTCTAAGGGACTATTCTGGAAAGAGCTCTCTCAGCCCCACCTACCTCACAGGTGGGGAGGGGAAGGGATAGGAGTGTTTGTAAGCTGCTCTGAGACTCCGAGTGAAGGGCGGGGTATAAATCCAATCTCTTCTTCTTCCACTTCTTCTAAATAGGGGGTTAATCTTTTATACTTTCTGTAAAGAACTACTTCCCAGAGTTGGTGAAACTTTAATCAATTGTGTGTTTTCTTACACTGAAGTCTTCCTCTTGACTGTTTGTTTTAGCCCGGAGGACAGTGGCTCTGTGTGATCGATTGTATCTTCCTGTAGTCTTCCTCTTAAAAGAGTAGTTCACATTCAGAAACGTTGATGAAACAGAAGAAACGGGGAGCGAGGTTAAAACTGTGATTACACAAAACCAAGCACATGCTGCAGGCCTTTCAGGGGTGGGGGGTGGATGAGGCACAGCCCTCCCCAGAAATGTTTCCTCTAAGCTCCACAGTGTTGTGAGCGGAAATTCTACCTTGCGAGCAAAAAAAGGCTAGTAGCGTTAAAGTTGTGAGCGAGTCTATATTTGACTATCGCGTAAATTAGTCTTTTAGAAGATTATTTCCATGGCCTTGTAAAAATCTCGGAATAAATTATTTCAAATTATATTTAAACTGCATTTTAAGAATAATTTTATAAGAGGAAAAAGAAAGAAGTCAAATGTCACCCACCCCTTTCCACTATATGGGTAGACCTGGCCTCTGGAGGACACCCTTTCCACTATATGGGTAGACCTGGTCTCTGACCAACACCCTGCGCTGAGCCTTAGAAAACATACCAGCACTTGGGGGGGGGGGGCTTTTGCAGTCTACTTTGTCTTTTTTTAGTGAAATATGACAACCAGCATTACAGGTCAAGTATAACAGAGGTGGAACAATCACCGTGAGAACCCTGCCTAACCTAACAAACAGGAAGTTGCTGAAATGTTGTCCATCTGCCCAAACTACCTATTCAAATATTTATATCCCACTTTTCCCTGTAACTCAAGGCAGTTTACAAATCATACTGCAAAGCAAAATAGGGGTATGAAATTTTTTTCCCCACCTCCATTATAGCCTATGGGAACCATTATAGTCAATGGGCCCCATAAACTATAATAGGGAATTGATCCGGGAGTATCTGGGGCTCGGGGCGGGGAGGCTGTTTTTTGAGGTAGAGGTACCAAATTTGCAGCATAGCTGCTGGTGCCCCTCCTCAAATCCCCCCCCCCCCAAGTTTCAAAAAGATTGGACTAGGGGGGGTCCGATTCTGTGAGCCCCAGAACAAGGTGCCCCCAACCTCCATTGTTTGCAATGGAGGGGAAGACGCCTAATCTCAGTTCACTTGTAGGCTGTGCTGCCAGCTAACGTGCTGTGCAGCAGTGTCCCCCTAGCTCAGCTTAGAGGGAACATTGTGAGTCCCCAGAAACCTCTCGTCGACTTTGCTTGTCTCAGATGGTGAAGCTTTGGGCCCTGGCTCAAGAACTGCGATAAACATTTTAAAAACCAACAACGGAACATGTAATCCGAATGTAAAACTGGAGGAAAATACGACCATTACGTACGTGTTGTCAGAAGAGGAAGTGTCTCTGCGTTTTGCCAAAAGGTCTGCCATGTAAGAAATGGAAAGGCCTCCTGCGTGAGGGGTTCCACGGCACCCCTTCCACGGGACCCTCCCCCATGAAGTTACGTGGAAGGGTGGGTTCCTGTAGTCAGCCCCCCTCTCGATGACCTCAGGATCTGAACTGATGTGTACAGTTGGAGGTGGTTCAGTCTGCCCTCAGAACGAGTTGGGATCTGAAACAAGCCCCCCCCTTCCGTTGATCTGCTTGTATCAGGCGGAATTCTGCGACCCCCCTGCTGCAAAAACTTTCATCTCCCGAGTGGTGGAAATACCTGAGAAAAGCTTGTAATGGGCGCACATTTTGGATTTCAGTTTCTGTCAATAAAGCGACACATGCGGCATTTGGGATCGTGAGGTTTATGCGAATGTTTGTGCTGATCAGAATAGGGGGCGCAATTCGAACACAGTGAATGCTGCTCGATCGTTACGTCAGAAGGTGCCTCTAGTTATGTGCCCAGAATTTTTATTACTGGTATCCCAGAAGTTCTCGGTGGGAGAGGGAGGGGCGAAACACGGCATGATTAGAATGTGGGATTCGCTGCCAGAGGATGTAGTGATGGCCACAAGAATGAACAGGTTTCAAAGGCGATTGGACAGACTGATGGAGGATGTCTATCAATGGCTACTCGTCATAATGACTGAGGGGAACCTCCACATTCAGAGGCACTAAGCCTTTGAATCCCAGAGTCTTGAGGCAACGTCGGGGGAAAGTCTCAGCCTGTATGTTCTGTTGTTGGCCCTCAGAAAGAATTGGATGGCCACTGTGTGATACAGGATGCTGGACTAGATGGACTATTGGTCAGATCCAGCAAGGCTCTTCTGTTCTTATCAGGAGAAGACCTCGGCCTCTGTGCCCTGTTGTTGGCCCTCCAGAGGAACTGGTTGGCCCCTGTGTGAGACAGGATGCTGGACTAGATGGACCCCTGGTCAGATCCAGCAAGTTTCTTTCTGATGCTCTTGTGTTGTATGTTTACTGTTCTGGTACAACCCTAATTGACCTCAGAATAAGTTAAACTGACCCCAAAGCAAGAACACAATTCCATTTTGTCTTTGATGGCAGCACTCAAATCGTAAGGATTTAAAAACAACACCCCACCCCACCTCCCCCTTTTTGGTCAGATGGATGTTTCATGTTTCAGATTTCACTCCCAGATTTACAGCACGTGAATTTCAGCAAAGAGCAGGTTCCTGTCCGGCCACTTGGGTGGGAGTCCTTGGAGCAGCCACTGCCGATTTCAGACCCTCCCGTTGATGAGAAACAGCCTTCCTGATTAATCTTTTTTTGTGTCTCTCCCCCCTCCCCCCCGCTTCCGCAGCCTGGATTTGTGGCATCATTTCTATCACGGTCATTAGCCTGCTGTCCTTGCTGGGGGTGATCTTGATCCCTATCATTAACCAAGGGTGCTTCAAATTCCTTCTCACCTTCCTGGTTGCTCTGGCGGTTGGAACCATGAGCGGAGACGCGCTGCTTCATCTGTTGCCACATGTAAGTTCTCTCCCACCTCTCCCAGTTCTGTCCCTTTCCTCCTTTTTAAAGCTTCTCGAGCACTGTCGAGCGTGCACGTGCGCACCCATGCTGGAGATGTCCACTCATGTGCCCCTTTTGCCGGCATGCCCACTTTTGGGTGTGATCACAAATAAGAACAAGCTATGACAGACCAACTGATAACAATTACTTCCAAAAGCATTTTGGCCGTTCTGTATAATTTCCACATAAATGGTGCAAAACATGCAAAGTTATTCAGTGCATGGCATAGAAGTATACAATCTCAATTTGGTATTATTTCAGAAAAGATTCACTCAATAGTGTTCCCGTCCGTATTACAAAAATTAATAAACGGGAAGAGTCTCCTAAGCAGTGTTCCCTCTAAGCTGAGTTAGCGAGAGCTAGCTCACAGTTCTTTTAGCCTCCGGCTCACACATTTTTGCCTCAGCTCAGGGAGGATGGCTCCAGAGCCAACTAATTGATGCAGCAGCCAAATCGCTTGCTCACAACTTTAATGCCGGTAGCTCACAAAGTAGAATGTTTGCTCACAGGACTCCACACCTTTGAGGGAGCATTGCTTCTAAGGGGTAAGGGGTGCATTCAGTACACACAAATCAGCCGCTTCAAATCCTCTTGAGAAGCGTCCTGCATTCAAATCAAAGCAGCTTCAAATCCGTCCTTGAGATTGTATTTTTCCGTGCTACACACGGCATACCTTGGCATGTTTTGTGCTATTTATGTGGAAATTATATAAAATTACCAAAAATACTTTTGGAAGTAATTATTATTAGTTAGTCTGTCACGGTTTTGTTCTTATTTGTGATAGTTGGTTCCGTGATTCTCTCTCTGTTTGGTTGCTTTTGGGTGTATACGTAAGTATGTAAGATTCGAATCCAGGAGCCCCTTAGAGAAGACCAACTGGATTCTCAGGGTATCGGCTCTGGAGAGGCAGAGTTCCTTTGGTCAGATGCAAGCAGGAA